TAATTTTGTTAGTTTGAATACTGTCTCTCTAGCATTTATATAATTTTGCTAGGGGTTTGACTATCTTACTGACTTTTTCCATTCCATTGATTCTTTGTATCGTTCTTTTAGTTTCTAAGTTACTGATTTCAGTCCTGAGTTTGATTATATCCTGCCATCTACTCCTCTTGAGTTTGTTTTCTTTTTCCATTTTTATTTATTCTACACCTTTTAGGTGTGCTTTTAAATTACTAGTGTGAGAACTCTCTACTTTCTTTATGAAGGTGCTTAGTACTATGGACTTTTCCTCAGAACTGCTTTCATCGTGTCCCATAAGTTTGGGTATGCTTTACCTTCATTTTCAATGAATTCTAGAAATGTCTTTAATTTCTTTTTTTTATTTCATCCCTGACCCAATGGTCATTGAGTAGAGAGTTGTTCAGTTTCCATGAGTTTGCAGGCATTCTATTGTTTCTGTTGTTTTTGAAATCCAACTTTAATGCACGGTGCCCTAGTAAGATACAGGATTTATTTCAAAGTTCTAGTATCTTTTGAGGCTTGCTTTGTGACTGAATGTATGCTCAGTTTTAGAGAAGGTTCCATAAGGTTCTGAGAAGAAGGTACATTCTTTGGTGTTTAGGTGAAATATTCTGCAGATATTTGTTAGGTCATTTTGATTCATGATGTCTGTTAGTTTCATTATTTCTCTATTTTTGTTTTTGTTTTGATCTTTATGCTAGTGAGAGTGAGGTGTTGAAGTCTCTCACTATTAATGTGTGGGGTTCAATGTGGGATTTAAGCTTTAGCAATGTTTCTTTTATGAACAAGGGTGTCCTTGCACTTGGGGCATAGATGATCAGAACTGAGATGTCATCTTGCTGGATTTTTCCTTTGATGAGTATGAAATACCCTTCTCTATCACTTTCAATTAATTTTGGTTAAAAGTCTATTTAACTAGATACTAAAATGGCTACTCCTTCTTGTTTCTTGGGTCCGTTTGATTGGAAAACCCTTTTTAGCCCTGTACTCTAAGATAATGTCTATACTTGCTGCCAAGGTGTTTTCTATATGAATCAGAATGATGGATCTTGTTTTGATATCCATTCTGTAAGCCTGTATCTTTCTATTGGGGAATTGAGTCCATTGTTGTTGAGAGATATTAATGACCAATGATGGTTAATTCCTTTAATTTTGACCTTGGTAGTAGTAGAGGGTATTTTGTGCTTCCATTCTTTCAATTTTGTTGATGTGGGGTTATTTACTTTCTGTGTGTCCCTGGGTGTAGTTAGCTTCCATGGGTTGGAGTTTTCCTTCTTGTATCTTCTATTGGGCTGGATTTCTCTGAAGATATTGTTTAAATTTGTTTTTGTCTTGAAATATCTTGCTTTCCCCATCTATGGCGATTAAAAGTTTTGCTGGATATAGTATTCTGGATGACATCTGTGGTTTCTTGTACCTGTAAGATATCTGTCCAGTTCATTCTTGATTTTAGAGTCTCTGTTGAAGTCAGTTGTAATTCTGATAGCTCTGCCTGTATATGTGAGTTGGCTATTTTCTTTTAATATTCTTTCTTTGTTCTGTACATTTAGTGATTTGGTTATTATGTGTTGGAAGAATTTTTTTGGTTCTATTTATTTGGTGTTTTATAACTTGAATGTTTATAGCTATCTCTTTCTTTAGGTTGGGGAAGTTTTCTTCTATGATTTTTTAAAATTTTATTTTATTTTTTATATTAATGCTAGTTTATTCACTTTGTATCCCAGTTGTAAAACCCTCCCTCATCCCTTCTCTATCCATCCCCCCTCCCTCATCTCCTCCCATGCCCCTCACCAAGTTCATTGATAGAGGAGGTCCTCCTCCTCTTTGATCTTACCTAGCCTATCAGGTCTCATCAGGACTGGCTGCACTGTCTTCCTCTGAGGTCTGGTAAGGCTGCACCTCCTTCAGGGGGAGGCTATCAAAGAGCCATCCACTGAGTTCATGTCAGAGAAAGTCCCTGTTCCCCTTACTAGGGTAACCACTTGGACACTGAGCTACCATGGGCTACATCTGTGCAGGGGTTCTAAGTTATCTCCATGCATGGTCCTTGGTTGGAGTATCCTTCTCAGAAAAGACCCATGTGTCCAGATATTTGGTTCTGTTGCTCTCCTTGTGGAGCTCCTGAAGGGGACAAGACCCTCCAAGTCTTTCTATCTCTCCTTTCTTTCATTAGATACCCTGCGCTCATCCAAAGTTTGGCTATGAGTCACAGCATCTGCTTTAATACCCTACTGGATAGTCTTTCAGAGGCCTTCTGTGGTAAGCTCCTGTCCTGTTTTCTTCCTTTTCTGATATCCGTCCTATTTTCCTTTCTGAGTGAGTGAAGACTGATCATCTTATCCAGGATTTTCCTTCATGTTTAGATTCTTTAGGTGTACAGATTTTAGTATGTTTAGCCTATATTATATGTCTAATATCCATTTACAAGTGACTATATAGCACATGTGTCTTTCTGCTTCTGGGATACCTCACTCAGGATGACCTTTTGTAGTTCCCACCATTTGCCTGAAAATTTCATGATTTTGTTGAAAATATATTCAGGGCCTTATTGCTGAGAGTCATCCCTTGCTTCTACTCATATCATTCTTAGGTTTGGTAGTTTCATAATGTGCCAGATTTCTTGGTTGTTTTGTGTCAGGAAGTTTTTAGATTCAACATTAATTTTGACTGATATATCTATTTCTTCAATCATATCTTCAACACCTGAGATTCTCTTTTCATCTCTTGTATTCTATTGTATCTGCAGTTTCTATGTCTTTCCCTAATTATCCATCTCCATGGTTCTCTCAGTTTGTGTTTTCTTTATTGAGGTCTATCTTCTTTCATTTTCAGGTCTTGGACAGTTTTACTCATTTACTTCTCATGTTTAGTTACATTTTCTTGTATTTCATTAAGGGGCTTATTCAGTTCCTTCACATGTTTGATAAAATTTTCCTATATTTCTTTAAGGGATTTGTTTATATCCTCCTAAGGACTCTGTCATCTTTATAAGGTTGGATTTAAGGTAGTCTTCTTTAGCTTTGGTGGTGTCAGGATGTCCAGTACTTACTGTAGTGGTATAGCTGGGCCCTGGTAATGCCATACTGCCCTGAGTTTTTTGGCTGTATTCCTACACTGGCCTTTAGCCATCTGGTTGACTCTGATCTTGGCTAGATATTCTTGATGCTGACAAGAGTCCTCAGAAAAACAAGTAGAGCCTTGGGCCAGAGAGTAGAGAGCAAGGAATAGCAGCCTGCTCACTAATATTAGTTGGGTGTTGCTGGGAATCTGCAGTCTTGGATATTCTTCCACTGGCTGTTTCTCACATGGGCCTGGCAGGTAGTAGAAATGCTGGATTCAGTGTAACCTGGCTGTTTCCGGCTGTTCCTGAGACTGGCAAGCCTCTTCCATAGGGAATGTTATGGATCTGTGTGGGGTATATAAGGGATAGAAGCTCACCTCTGCTGGCTGTGTTTCCACTACCCACAACTGCTGCAGGCAGGAGACAGGGTGGGCAGGGTCTAACCTGGTCATCTCTGAGGACCCACAGGCCTATCAGGCCTCCTCCAGAGGGACAGTTATGGAGCTGGAGGGAGAGGGGGAAGATTGCAGCTCTCATCTGTTGTCTGTATCCCCAGGAAGACAGGAGACAGCCTGTGCAGACTTTATCCTGGCTGTTCCTGGGGACCCTCAGGCCTGGATGGTTCTGGAGACAGCAAGCCTCCTCCAGAGGTAAGTTTATGGAGCTATGGGGGAAAGAAGGGATAGTGAGCAGCATACCTCTGTTGGCTGTATCTTCTGGCAGACAGGGGAATATCTGGGCAGGGTCTATCCTGGCTATTTGTGGGGTCCCGAAAGCCTGCATGATACTGATGCATGCAGGTTTCATCCAGAGGGAAATTTATGGAGCTGCAGGTGTAGGGGGTTGGAAGGCAGCATGCAGCTCACATCTGCTGCCTCTGTTTCCTGAAGGATCATGTTCTTAGTCTTATTGTAACCTGTTATGCTATGTTCGGATGATATCTTTTTTTTAGGATTTTTTTTATTAATTATATTTTACTCACTTTGTATCCCCCCTTGGATCCCTCCCTCCTCCCATCCCAATCCCTCTCTTCCTCCACCCTCTGCCTGCATGATCCTCCCCAAGTCCACTAATAGGGGAGGACTTCTTTTCCTTCCTTCTGATCCAAGTCAATTAGGTCTCATCAGGAGTGGCTGCCTTGTCTTCTTCTGTGGCCTGGTAATGCTGCTTCCCTCTCAGGGGGAGGTAATTAAAGAGCAGGCCAATCAGTTCATGTTAGAGACAGTCCCTGTTCCTATCACAATGGAACCCACTTGGATACTGAACTGCCATGGGCTACATCTGTGCAGGGGTCTTAGGTTATCTCCATGTATTGTCCTTGGTTGGAATAGCAGTCTCAGGAAAGACCCCTGTGCTCAGATTTTTTTTTGGTTCTGTTGCTATCCTTATGGAGTTCCTGTCCTCTCCAGATCTTACTGTTTCCCACTTCTTTCCTAAGATTCTCTGCACTCTGCCCAAATGTTGATAGTCTGCAGGGCAGAGCTTTTCAGAGGTCCTCTGTGTCAGGCTTTGGGAGGCCCTTTCTTTGTTTTTTTGTTTTTGTTTTTCTTTTTTTTTTTGAAAGGAAATGGAGAAGAGGATCTGGGAGAGAGAGGAGTAGAGGCAGGGAGAGCAGAAGGCGTGGTGGAGGGGACATTGCCAAAAACTCTTAATGTGGTCCTGGGTTTATTGTCCTTTCTTCTCAATTGTTTCTGACCACACAATAAACTTTTTCCATCCTTGAGCTGAAGAAACAAAGACTAATAAATGCCTGCTAAATGTTACTCTTCAAAGGATGGAAACATTACCTATTTTGGTGAAAAAAACGACTTGCAAAGCGACTGTTATTGTCTACCAACTGAGCACAGACTCGCAGGCAAATTAATTTGGGGTTGTCATGAGTCAGAGGAAGACAAAGCATTAACACAATATAGTGACACTGTTAAATGATAAAGAATGTATCTTTTATTTGTTTTCAGAATGGCACATTGTTGTTTATTGTCTTAGCTGAGAAATAGCTCCAGGAGGTTCTACTTAGCACAAGTGGCCAGTCCAGGAGACCTCCTGGAGACATCCTCATGTACTAGTATTCATCAGAAAATGGAAAATTAGGGTGGCCATCAAACCTGCAAAGACAAAGAAAATCCATAATGCATTTGGTCATTCTGTTTCCAGAAGGAATGATTTCTATGAAGTTGATTTTAGTATGAAAGTGTGAAAATTTATTTTCCTAAGGCATACAATCATCGTTTCTTACTTTCAAAAATAGTACTTTCTACTTGAAAAGAAAACAGTAGTAAATTATTGAGATTTCTTTCCCTAGTACTTAATATGTAGAAAAAAAGTATCAAACTGGTCTCTATCAAAGAGAGAGAGAGAAGAGGAGCTAGAGACATGGCTTGGGATTCACAAGCACTGACTGCTCTTCCAGAGCTCCCAGATGCTATTCGCAATCCGCATGGCTCACAATCATTTGAAACTCAAGTACCAGGGGATACTATGCCCTCTTTTGCCCTATAAGTTTCCTCAATGCACGTGGTGCACAGACATACATGTAGGCAAAGCCCATACAAATATCTAAAAGTCATTTAGATAATAAAACACTATATCAAGTAAAAAAAAAAAATCCAACCCTTTATTTTAAAATTCCTCAGAGAGAGCAAACACTGTCCTATGTTTTTGAAAACAAGAAACCAAGTTATGTACTCTGTGCTAAACAGTAGTTGAGGGATGGTGAGATGGCTCAGTTGAGTAAGGCACCAGCTACCAACTGATGACCTGAGGTTGATCCCTGCGACCTCTGTATTGGAAGGGGAGAAACTACGGTGGCAAGTAGTCATCTCATCTCCACCACATGTGCTCACTCACATACATGTACACATACATACAAGTCAATAAGTGAAACAAATTGAAATGTTTGGGGAGATATAGATTATTCATATTTGATTTCTTTTGTTTTTAATTGCATTTGTCTTTAATACATCTTAGGCTCTCACTGGTTCTCAGGATTACAAAAAGATCAGCAATGTATCTGGCTTATTTCAGCTTAGAATTTTAGGGGACTTCTGAGTATGTGAATGAGTGGATCTCTGATTCTTGAGCCTGCTCTTGGGGCTCTTTTTCTTTGTTGGCTTGCCTTGTTCAGCCTCATTGTGATGTTTTTTTTGCTTTTTTACCATGTTCGATTTTGTTAAGTATGATCGTTATTTTTAGAAGGCTTTTCTTTTCTAAGAAGAGACAGACAGACATGGAGTGGATCTGGAGGTGAGGGGAGGTGAGGAATATTTTGAAAAAGTAAAGATAGGAGAAACTTTAATCAGGATAAATTGTATAATAAAAGAATCTATTTTATTTTTCTTTTTTAATTAAATTTTCATTTTCTGTATTAAATACAGTTTATTTACTTTGTATCCCAGCTGTAGCCCCTCCTTCATTCCCTCCCAATTGAACCCTTCTTCCCTCATCTCCTTCCTGCCCTTACCTAAGCCCACTGATAGGGGAGGTCCTCCTCCCTTTCCATCTGACTCTAGCTTATCAGGTCTCATCAGGACTGGCTGCATTGTCTTCCCCTGTGGCCTAGCAAGGCTGCTCCTCACTTGGGGGTGGGAGGAAGAAGGGAAGGTCAAAGAGCCAGCCACTGAGTTCATGTCAGAGACAGTCCCTGTTCGCCTTACTAGGGTACACACTTTGATACTGAGCTACCATGGACTATGTCTGAGCAGGGGTTCTAAGAAGTCCATTGTCATAGTAATATCATATCATTAGACGGAAATAAAAGTATAAATTAAACTCCCAATTAAAATTTCCCAGGTATGCAGGGGTGGTTCAATATACAGAAATCCATCAATGTAATCCACCATATTAACAAACTGAAAGAAAAAAAAACACATGATAATCTCCCTAGATGCTGAAAAAGCATTTGACAAAATCCAACATCCATTCATGTTTAAAGTATTGGAGAGATCAGGGATACAAGGCACATATCTAAATATAGTAAAGGCAATATACAGCAAGCCTATAGCCAACATCAAACTGGACGGAGAGAAACTTAAAGCAATCCCACTGAAATCAGTGACAAGACAAGGCTGCCCACTCTCTCCATATCTCTCCAACACAGTTCTGGAATTCCTGGCTAGAGCAATAAGAGAGTTGAAGAAGATCAAGGAAATACAAATTGGAAAAGAAGAAGTCAAAATATCACTATTTGCAGATGATATGATAGTATCTGTGAGTGACCCCAAAAACTCTACCAGGGAACTCCTACAGCTGATAAACACCTTCAGCAATGTGGCCAGATACAAAATTAATTCAAAAAAATCAGTAGCCCTCCTATATACAAAAGAGAAAAGGGCTGAGAGAGAAATTAGGGAAACAACACCCTTCAAAATAGCCACAAATGACATAAAGTACCTTGGAGTAACCCTAACCAAGCAAATCAAATACTTGTATAAAAAATAATTCAAGTCTCTGAAGAAAGAATTAGAAGAAGATATCAGAAGATGGAAAGATCTCCCATGCTCATGGCTTGGCAGGATTAACATAGTAAAAATGGGCATCTTACCAAAAGCAATCTACATATTCAATGCAACAATAATAAAACAGTAATAAAAACTGCATGGTACTGGCACAGAAACAGAATGGTGGATCAATGGACCCGAACAGAAGACTCAGAGATAAACCCATACACTTATGGACAACTGATCTTTGACAAAGATGCCAAAACCATACAATGGAGAAAAGACAGCATCTTCAACAAATGGTGCTGGTCCAACTGGATGTCTACCTGTAGAAAAATGCAAATAGTCCATACTTATCACCCTGCACAAAACTAAAGTCCAAGTGGATCAAAGACCTCAACATAAAATCAGACACATTAAATCGGTTAGAAAAAAAAAAGTGGGGAATACCCTTGAACTCATTTGCAGAGGAGACAACTTCCTGAACAGAACACCAACAGCACAGGCTCTAAGAGCAACAATCAATAAATGGGACCTCATAAAGCTGAAAAGCTTCTGTAAAGCAAAGGACACCGTCATCAAAACAAAGCGACTGCCTACAGATTGGGAAAGAATCTTCACCACGCCTTTATCTGACAGAGGACTCATATCCAATATATATAAAGAACTAAAGAAGCTGAAAAGCAGCAAACCAAGTAATCCAATTAAAAAATGGGGAACAGAGCTAAACAGAGAATTCTCTGTAGAGGAATATAGAATGGCAGAGAAGCACTTAAAGAAATGCTCAACATCATTAGCCATTAGGGAATGCAAATCAAAATGACCCTGAGATTTCACCTTACACCCATCAGAATGGCCAAGATGAAAAACTCAAGTGACAACACATGCTGGAGAGGTTTTGGAGAAAGGGGAACCCTCCTTCACTGCTGGTGGGAATGTAAACTTGCACAACCACTCAGAAAGCAATCTGGCGCTTTCTCAGATAACTAGGAATAGCGCTTCCTCAAGACCCAGCCATACCACTCCTAGGCATATATCCTAAAGAGGCTCAAGAACACAATAAGGACATTTGCTCAACCATGTTTGTAGCAGCTTTATTTGTAACAGCCAGAACTTAGAAACAGCCCAGATGCCCCTCAGTTGAAAAATGGATGCAGAAATTGTGGTACATCTACACAATGGAGTATTACTCAGCAATGAAAAATAAGGAAATCATGAAATTTGTAGGTAAATGGTGGGACCTGGAAAGGATCATCCTGAGTGAGCTGTCTCAGAAGCAGAAAGACACACACACACGGTATATACTCACTCATATAGACATAACATAATATACAGCTACTAAAAACTGTACATCTAAAGAAACTAAGCAAGAGAGATGACCCTGACTAAAATGCTAAATCCCCATCCTGAAAGGCAAAGAGGATGGACATCAGAAGAAGAAGAAAACAGGAAACAACCTAGGAACCTGCCACAGCAGGCCTCTGAAAGTCTCTGCCCTGCAGACAATCAAAGCAGACGCTGATACTTATGGCCAACTGTTGGGCAGAGTTCATGGAATCTTATGTAAGAAGTGGGAAATATTAAGAGCTGGAGAGGACAGGAACCACACAAGGAGAACAACAAAACCAGAAAACTTGAACACGGGGAACTTCCCAGAGACTCATACTCCAACCAAGGACTACTCATGGAGGTAACCTAGAACCCCTGCACAGTTGTAGCACATGATAGTTCAGTGTCCAATTGGGTTACATAGTAATGGGAAGAGGGACTGCCTCTGACATAATCTGATTGGCCTGCCCTTTGATCACCTCCTCCTGAGGGGGAAGCAGCCTTACCAGGCCACAGAATATGACAATGCAGCCACTCCTGAGGTGATCTGATAGACTAAGATCAGAGGGAAGGAGAAGAGGACTTACCCTATCAGTGGACTTGGGGAGGGGCATGCATGAGGAAGGGGGAGCATGGGTGGGATCGGGAGGGGTGGAGGGAGGGGGAATACAAAATGAATAAAGTGTAATTAATTAATAGTAAAAATTTTTCTAGAAATTATAAAATAGAAAAGTCAGATTGAGCAATAGCATATTATCTATGTATCAGTACTCTGGATGTATTGTCCAGTGTTTGTACGTTTAGTGTATATGTAACTTTATGTATCATTTTCTGAAATATTGGCTTAAATGCAATGTTTACTACACTGACTTTAAATTTCAGTTTCAGAATTTATTAATCATTCATTAACCTCCTGCCAAATAAAACGGTGATTTTGATTCAGAAGTAGAAATAATATTTGTCAGAGACAAAATCTCACACACAAGGGAACAACTGCATATCACCATAACAAAAGTCACACAAGTTACAGAGTTAAAACACCGTTCACCAAGGCTAATAATATGAACATTCAAATAGTAGTTCTGTCTCTATGAAATATGTACTACATTATTCATTTTTCTGTATATTATTAAATTAACAATTATATAGAAATGTTTATTACATGCTATTTTATTATGCTTACAATTATCATACAACATGCTTATAACTTTCATACAATACAATAGTTTTTATTTTTAATTAATTTACACGCTGGAATTGTGAATGTACATTCCATACTTTCAGTGATAATACATCTTGTCTCAAATTCTATAGCGTTATATGTAGAATGAAAATTACAGTTTCTTTGGACATTAAATTCTCTACAGCAGAGGTTCTAGGTTATATCCATACATGGTCCTTGGTTGGAGAAACAGTTTCATATAAGACCCTTGTGCCCAGATATATTTGGTCCTTGTGGAGCTCCTATCCTCTCCAGGTCATATTAACTCCCCCTTCTTTCATATGATTCCCTGCACTCTGCCCAAGGTTTGGTTATGAGTCTCAGTATCTGCTTTGATACACTGCTAGGTAGAGTCTTTGAGAAGCACTCTGTGATAGTTTCCTGTCATGTTTCTTGTTTTTTTCCACATCCAATACCCATCCCATTTGTCTTTGTAAGTGAGGATTGATCATCTTTCCCTGGGTCCTCTTTCTTTTTTATCTTCTTTAGGTGTATAGATTTCATTATGTTTATCATATCTTATAGGTCTAAATAAGTGAGTATATACCATGTGTGTCTTCCTCCTTCTTGGATACATCATTCAGAATGATCTTTTCTAGATACCACCATTTGCCTGCAAATTTCATGATTTCCTCGTTTTTGATTGTTGAGTAGTATTCCATTGTGTAAAATACCACAATTTTTGTAGCCATTCCTCCATTGATGGACATCTGGTTTGTTTCTAGATTCTGGCTATTACACATAAAGCTACTGTAAACATGGTTGAGCGAAGCCCTTGTTGTGTATTTGAGTATCTTTTGGATATATGCCTAAGAGTGGTATAGCTGTGTTTTGAGGATAACCTAGAACCGCTCCTCAGACATAGCCCATGGTAGCTCAGTATCCAATTGTGTTCCCTAGTTAGGGAAACAGGGACTATTTCTGACATGAACTCAATGGCTGGCTCTTTGACCTCCCTACCTCCCAAGAGAGGAGCAGCCCTGCTGGGCCACAGAGGAGGACTTTGCAGCCAGTCCTGAAGATATCTGATAAAACAGGGTCAGATGAAAGGGGAGGAGGTCCTACCCTATCAGTGGACTTGGAAAGGGGCAAGGAAGAGATGAGGGAGAGAGGGTGGGACTGGGAGGGAATGAGGTAGAATGATACAGATGGGATAGAAATTTAATAAAATGTAGCTAATATTAAAAATAAATAAATAAATAAATAAATAAATAAATAAATAAATAAATGGTAAATTTCTCTACAGCAATAAAAATGTTTCTAAATATTAATCCATGATTTTTAAAAATGTGTATATGTGTGTCCCTGTGTAGGTGTATAAATGTGTATTTGTGATTGCAGAAGCATACTCATGTATAAAGTATATACATGGATGTAGAGGCCATAGGAAACCCTTAGGTGTATCCTCAAGAATGCATTCACTCTTTTGAGGCAGGGTCTTTCATTGACCTTGTCTCACTGGTTAGCATAGTGGCCTGCAAGCCCCAAGTATGTGCAAGTTTTCACCTCCAGAACACTTGAATTACAAGAGCACATGTTGCACCCAGGTTTTAATCACACTTGCAAGGCAAGTACTTTACTGACTGAGCCATCTTTCAGCATCTCCATGGGCCTTAAATATCTTCTCAATGATTTTTAGTCCTCTACATTGACTTCAGTATGTTTGAGAAAAATCAGTACCAGCTGTGTTACTGATCACATCAAGTCAGCAGTTCTCAAACTAGAACACTTAATTCCTGAACAGAAGCACTTCAGGAATGAAAGGAAGTTTTTCAAACCTTTAAAGTCATTAAAATTCTTGATGACATTGAACAAGTTCATATGCAGGTGGTGACATAGATTATAAGGTTGGTGTCATACATTTAGTAGGATAAGATTTAAGCAAGTACTGGAGAAAATGAGATGATGGCATGATATTGATATTGGGATGTTTCAACGAGCCACCTGATATGTCCACAGTGCATATTACAGGACATAAAGATTGAGTTCACCATAGAGAAAATAGAGATTCTACACTGAGGTGGGCTAACCCAGAATACTCCCTTGAAACAGTACAGACCTCCTGTACTCTGATTTTCTCTGTCTTCTTACATTTATTGAGATAACATTAAAAATGTTCCTCCAGAAAAAAAAGAAAAAAAAAAAACAGAATAAAACATATAAACAAAGCTACTTACTTGTCAGCAGTTATATATTGCAAATTTCTGTTCAGGCCATCAAGGACTTTCATATCCTCTGAACTCAACTGGAACTCAAAAACCTACCACACCTATAGGAAACATTTTTATGTATTTACATAATTAAACTGCATTTTTTTCCAATCAGCACATTGTAAATTCAAGAGATTGAACAGTGAATGTGGTTGCTTGGTAAAATGCTTGAAAAATCCTGGCTTTCACAAAATACAAAGGTATTCAATAAAACACTGAAGTGAGAAATGAATTCCAGCGTCAGCATCACTCAAAACCCCCCACATACTGAATCCATACACAATAAACAGGCAAGAAAGATTTGAATGGAATGTGAGGAGGAAAGAAATCGGTTACAATTCAAAGAGAAAAACATCACTGCTTAGGAGATCTACTCCATGAGTGCAATTGTCTGAATGTGTAACTCAATTCAGTAATCATCACTTAGACAGTTTTATTTCAATGTCTGAGCAAAGAAAAGTCGAAGTATGAAAATGTTCTTTTAAACATACGATAAATGAAAATTCTATTGATATTTTAATACTAGGCATGTCTCATTGAAAGGAACTAAGAACTGGCTTCCAGGTGGTCATCTTTAATACACTTTGAAGTTTAATCTACAGGGTGACCTATAATTATTAAGATATTGAAACTATTCTGTCTATAAATCACTAGCATTGATCTTGAAATCAATACCAAGAACGTGAGGTAGAAGGAATACATTCATACAGGCTTTTAAGTTGTTAAAAAGAACATACTGTCTCTTCTACTCCTCACCTTAATGTTCTCTTTGATCCGCTCTTCTTTGAGACTGGTGTTGAGGACCACAATCCCACGCTGCACCTGGTAGCGAAGTGCAATCAAGGCTGGAGTTTGCTTGTACTTTTTGCCATAGAACCAAGAACTGGTTCATCCAAAAGAACAGGGGAGTTCTTGTCCACCCTTGAATGAAATGTAAGGAAGCTAAATTCCTCAAGCTGTAGCTTGCAAAGAAGCTTCAAATATACACAAAAGCGGCTCTATAGAATGAGGGTCCCAAGTGTGTTCCTAGACCCGATACACCATTATCACCCTTTATTCTCTCCAAAATGCAAATTTTCTCTGCTTCCAAAACCCATGATTATAGCCTTAAAGTTGCAAGACTAAAGGTATGTCAAGAACAATTGTGAGTTTATGATTTAATGACCTCATTACCATCCTTTGTATCTTTGTGTTCCCAGAACACCATAGGCAACCAGTACAATGTCATTTGACTTGCAGAAATCCAGAAGTTTTGTTTGGTTGAGATAAATATGGCATTCTACCTGCAGACGAATGAAGAAAGATACCATATTACATGAAATCCCATGTTCACATAAAAACGTGTTAAATTACAATAAGCTAAATTAGGAAAGCCTGTGTAACTAAGTGTGGATTAAATATAAAAATGAAAAGACTTCAGCAAATAACCCTTGACCATGCTGATGCAAGAAACATTAATTAATTGCAGTCATTCATTAAAAAATGAAAATTGAGGTTCCTGGGAAGTAGACAATGTTTGTGGGTTGGGTGTAGAATGAAGAAATAAAGGATAATGGGCAGGGGGATTTTCACTGAAGTACATACATAAATTTTCAAAAGAACACATACAATTTTTAAGTGTATAAAAGAAAATAATAGATTTGTTCATGGCTCTAATTCCAGAATTTGGAAGGCTGAGTCAATGTGTGTGTGTGTGTGTATGTGTGTGAGTGTGTGTGTGACAGCATGCTTTTGGAGGTTCTAGGACAACTAATATGAGTCAGCTCCTTCCTCCCACCAACTGAAAGATCAAATTCTGGTTTTCAAGCTTAATTTTATTCACTAATCCATCTCACTAGACCCATGATATATATGTTTTATTGCTACATTTATTGTACATATTAATGGACTTTGTAAAGATATGTTGATATGACTATAACCTGTACTTTCTCTCTATTTACTCTCCCCCTCCTTTTACTCTCTACTCCCATAATTCCCATTCAATTCTACAGATTCTATGAAAACTTCTAATATCTATGTTCTTAGGAATAGTTTAAAAAGTAACAATTATGAGATGAACCAACCTTTGCATAAAATCTTAGGGGTAAATGTCCATTTCTTCAACAAGAACTCATGATAGAGTCAAAATGTGGAACAGGGAATGGACTTGCTAAGTTTTAACTATGAAATAGTATGAACTTGATCAAACATTTGAAAGGGGATAGTCCATACGCTGAAACAGACAGTTGAGTAGAGACTTCAATTCGGGCAGATTTTTAGCAAGAAATGAAAAGTAAAAATCAATTCAAAAGGTAAAATAATTCAAAATCAAAAATTTTATATTAATATGCATACACACAAACAGATAATTGGACATAGAAAAATGAAAAAATATATTTCTCATCATCAATTGTGGTTAGTATAGAAACTGTTTTATTAGAACATTGGTAACTAAAGCTATACACTAACACTAAATACAGTTATAGTGGATTGAGACTTAGTATGTAAATTTTCTGTAGTAGACAAGTAAACAAGAAGTAACAATACAACTGAAAAGGAAAGACAGTATTGCCAAGTTTCAACAAAATAACTCATTCAGGAAAAAATCATTGATGCATTCTTGGTGAAGATCTTTTTCCAATCTGTAGGCTGTCGTTTTGTGCTGAGGACAGTGTCCTTTGCTTTACAGAAGCTTTCCAGTTTCATGAGGTCCCATTTATTAATTGTTACTCTTAGAGCCTGTGCTGTTGGTGTTCTGTTCAGGAAGTTGTCTCCTGTGCCAATGAGTTCAAGGGTATTCCCCACTTTTTCTTCTAAGCGGTTTAGTGTGTTTAGTTTTATGTTGAGGTCTTTGATCCACTTGGACTTTAAGTTTGTGTAGGGTGATAAGAATGGATCTATTTGCATTTTTACTTGTAGACTTCCAGTTAGACCAGCACCATTTGTTGAAGATGCTGTCTTGTTTCCATTGAATGGATTTGGCATTTGGTCAAAAATCAGGTGTCCATAAGTGCGAGGATTTATGTCAGTGTCTTCTATTTGGTTCCATTGATCCACCAGTCTGTTTCTATGCCAGTACCATGCAGTTTTTAGTATTGTTGCTCTATAGTACAGCTTGAGATCAGGGATGGAGAAATCTCCTGAAGATCTTTTACTGTAGAGAATTGTTCTAGCAATTCTGGGTTTCTTGTTGTTCCATATGAAGGTGAAAATTTTTCTTTCAAGTTCTGTAAAGAATTGTGTTGGTAATTTGATGGGAATTGCATTGAATCTGTAGATTGCTTTTTGTAAGAAGGCCATTTTTACTATATTAATTATGCCAAGCCATGAGCATGGGAGATCTTTCCATCTTCTGATATCTTTTCTAATTCTTTCTTCAGAGACTGGAAAATTTTTTCATACAAGTCTTTGACTTGCTTGGTTATGTTCACACCAATGTACTTTATGTCCTTTGTGGATATTGTGAAGGGTGTTGTTTTCCTAATTTGTTTCTTGGCCCTTTTGTCCTTTGTATACAGGAAAGCTACTGATTTTTTTTTTGAGTTAATTTTGTATCCAGCCACTTTGCTCAAGGTGTTAATCCGCTGTAGGAGTTCCCTGGTAGAGTTTTTGGGGTCACTCAGGTATACTATCATATCATCTGCAAAGAGTGATACTTTGACTTCTTCCTTTCCAATTTGTATCCCCTTGATCTCTTTCAATTGTCTTATTCCTCTAGCTAGGACTTCAAGAACAATGTTGAAAAGATATGGAGAGAGTGGACAGCCTTTCCTTGTCCTTGATTTCAGTGAGAATGATTTAAGTTTCTCTCCATTGAGTTTGATGTTTGCTATAGGCTTACTGTATATCGCCTTTACTATGTTCAAGTATGTGCCTTGTATCCTTGATCTCCAATACTTTAAACATGAATGGATGTTGGATTTTGTCAAATGCCTTTTCAGCATCTAAGGAGATGATCATGTGGTTTTTCTCCTTCAGTTTGTTTATGTGGTGGATCACATTGATGGATTTCCATATATCGAACCACTCATGCATGCCTAGGATGAAGCCTACTTGGTCATAGTGGATGATGTCTTTGCTGTGTTCTTGGATTTGGTTTGCAAGTATTTTGTTGAGTATTTTTGCATCAGTGTTCATGAGGGAGATTGGCCTGAAATTCTCTTTCTTTGTTGAGTCTTTGTGAGGTTTAGGTACCAAGGTGACTGTGGCTTCATAGAATGAGTTTGGTAGTATTCCTTCTGTTTCTATCTTGTGGAATAGTTTGAAGAGTATTGGTGTTAGCTCTTCTTTAAAGGTCTAGTAGAAATCGGCACTGAAACCATCTGGCCCTGGGCTTTTTTTGCATGGTAGACTTTTGATGACAGCTTCTATTTCCTTAGGGGATGTAGGACTATTTAATTGGTTTACCTGGTCTTGATTCAGCTTTGGCATATAGAATCAGTCAAGAAAATTGTCCATTTCATTTAGATTTTCAAATTTTGTGGCATATAGACTTTGGAAGTAAGACCTAATTATTGTTTGGATTTCTTCAGTGTCTGTGGTTATGTCCCCCTTTTCATTTCGGGTTTTGTTGACTTGGATAGTTTCTCTCTGCCTTTTAGTTAGTTTGGCTAAGGGTTTGTCTATCTTGTTAATTTTCTCAAAGAACCAGCTCTTGGTTTCATTGATTCTTTGAATTGTTTTATTTGTTTCTAATTGATTGATTTCAGCCCTGAGTTTGATTATTTCCAGCCATCTATTCCTCTTTGGTGTGTCTGCTTCTTTTTTTTCCTAGGGCTTTTAAGTGAGCCATTAAGTTGCTTGCATGAGATGTTTCGAATTTCTTTTTGAAGGCACTTAGTGCTACAAACTTTCCTCTCAGCACTGCTGTTCTTGTGTCCTATAAGTTTGGGTATGTTGTGTCTTAATTTTCATTGAGTTCTAGAAAGACTTTAATTTCTTTCTTTATTTCTTCCCTGACCCAGCTGTCATTTAGTAACAAGTTGTTCAGTTTCCATGTGTGTGTGTAGGCTTTTTGCCATTTCTGTTATTGTTGAGGTCCAGCTTTATACCATGGTGATCAGACAAGATACAAGGGATTACTTCAATCTTCTTGTACTGTTGAGGCTTGCTTTGTGACCAACTATGTGGTCTATTTTGGAGAAGGTTCCATGAGGTGCTGAGAAGAAGTTAAATTCTTTTGAGTTTGGGTGAAAGGTACTGTAGATGTCTGTGAGGTGCATTTGATTTATGACCTCTGTCATAGTTATTGTTTCTTTGTTTAATTTCTGTTTTGTTGACCTGTCCTTTGTTGAGAGTGGGGTGTTGAAGCTTCCCACTATTAATGTGTGGGGGTCTATGTGTGGTTTAAGTTTTATTAAAGTTTCTTTTATAAATGTGGGTGCCCTTGCATTTGAGGCATAGATGTTCAGGATTGTAATATCTTCCTGGTGGATTTTTCCCATGATGAGTATAAAGTGTCCTTCTCTATCTCTTTTGATTGATTTTAATATAAAATCTACTTTATGAGATATTAGAATGGCTACTCCTGCTTGCTTCTTGGGTCCATTTGCTTGGATAACTCTCTTCCAGCCCTTTATTCTCAGGTAATGTCTATCTTTTTTATTTGAGTGTGTTTCTTGTATGCATCAGATTGTTGGGTCTTGTTTATGCATCCATTCTGTTAGTCCGTGTCTTTTTATTGCAGAATTGAGTCCATTGATGTTGAGGGAGATTAATGACCACTGGCTGTTAGATCCTTTGATATTGATGTTGGCCATGGTAGTGTGTTTGTGTGTTTAGCTACTTTTGTTTTGCTGTAGTGAGGTTATTTATTTCCTGTGATTTCTTGAAAGTAGTTAGTTTTCTTGGGTTGTATTTTTCCTTCTAGTATCTTCTGTAATGCTGGATTTGTGTGTAGGTATTGTTGAAATTTTTTTGTCGTTGAATATCTTGTTTTCTCCATCTAAGAGGACTGAGAGTTTTGCTGGGTACAGTAGCCTAGGCTGACATCTGTGTTCTCTTAGGGTCTGCATGATATATGTCCAGGCTCTTCTGGTTTTCATAGTTTCTGTTGAAAAGTCAGGTGTGATTCTTATGGGTTTGCCAATATATGTTATTTGGCCTTTTTCCCTTGCAGCTTTTAGTATTTTTTCTTTGTACTATATACTTACTGTTTTGATTATTATGTGATGGGAGGATTTTCTTTTCTGTCCTAGTTTATTAGGTGTTCTGTAGGCCTCTTATATTCTTATAGGCTTTCCCTTTAAGTTGGGGAAATTTTCTTCAATGATTTTGTTGAAAATATTTTCTGGGTCTTGGAGGAGGGAATCTTCTTTTTCCTCTATTCTTATTATTCTTAGGTTTTGTCTTTTTATGTTGTCTTGGATTTCTTGGATGGTTTGTGTCAGGAATTTTTTAGATTTATTATTTTCTTTGACGGATACATCGATTTCTTCCATTGTATTTTCCACAGCTGAAATTCTTTCTTCCATCTCTTGTAGTCTGTTTGTTATGCTTACCTCTGTAGTTCTTGTTTTCTTTCCTAGGTTCTCCCTCTCCGTGATTTCCTCCGTTTGTGTTTTCTTTAATCTTCCAATTCTATCTTCAGATCTTGGACCGTTTTGTTGATTTCCTTCACCTGTCTGACTGTATTTTCCTGTTTTTCCTTCAATCCTTCAGCTGTTTGTTTGAATGTTCCTCTGTTTCTTTTATTTCTTTCAGTGACACAGACTGTTTGGCTGTATCTTCCTGTATTTCTTTACGGATGACCATAATCTGTTTTATTATATCTTCCCCTTATTCTTTATGTATTTTATTTACTTCCTCCATTAACCTCTTCATTAGCATAGATGTAAGGTCATCTTGAATTTCACTAATGTTAGGGTATCCAGGGCTACTTGCCCCTGGATAACTGTGTTCTGGAGATGCCATGTTGTTTTGCCTTTTGTTGGTTGTGCTTTTTCACTGGCCTCTACCCATCTCTCTGTCTCAGGTGTTGTCTGTTAATTTCTGGTGCCTGCTGAGTCCTGGGGCGGGGAGAATCCACTTGGCGGGGTTCTGAAGTTCTCCTCTGCTTTCTGGGTATGGTCAACAGAATAGTGGTGCTTCTCAGGAATTGTCACAGTTCACTTCGGGTCCGTATGGTAACTGTGGTATTCAGGAAGGCTCTCCTCTCATCAGGAGAGGTTTTGGTGATGGCTGTCCTGTTGTTGGGTTTTTTGCTCTGAATTTAGCGAGCAGTAGCTGTTGCTCTTAAGGTGTAATTTTTAGGTGCACCCCTCTTGAAGGACCAGGGATTCCCACAGTTTTGTCAGCCTAGCTAGGGATAACTTGTTGATCCTTGGCACAGTATCTGAGGGCTACGGTAATGGCTCTCTGGCTTTTGTAGGTCTGAGGATACAGCTGTGTGCCCCAGTGCCCTAGTGGTACTCAATAATGGCAGGTGAGCACAGCGCTTCTGCCTGCAGTAGAAGGCTAGAGCCTGGAGTCTGCGTGAATCCAGAAAGTCTTTTGGTGCTGGGTGTCCTGAGTGTTAGACCTGATTATCCCGCCGCTGTGGGGTTTCCTCCTGATAGGACACCCAGTCTTTGCTTTGGGGATAGCCTTTCTATCTGTGATGGCAAGTAGAACCTGCAGGCACAGACTTACATAGCTCTGCCTTTCTGGGGATTGGGTGCCTGGGTGTCTGCTGAAACTGGTTAACTTTTCCAGAGACCTTTTCAGGGTGGTGGTATCAGCTGAATGCTCCGAGATCAGACCAGCCATTCCCCTCCCTGGGTTTGCACCAGACAGTGAAACTCAGTCTCTGATGTCCTGGGGCCCACAGTTCTATCTGGGGCAGCAAATAAGGCGTGCAGGCAGGGCTCTGTGCTGGTGCCCGACTCCCTGGCTCTGCCTCTGGGCTCGCTCTTGGTGCACCCGAGAAACCTGAGTCTTTTCCAGGGGATGTCTGGGTGACCTAGGGTCGGTCCCAACCGTTTCCTGCACCATGGGGTTATCTCTTGACTGGAAATTTCAGTCTCTGATGTCGTGGTGCACACAGTTCAGCCTGGGAGAGTGACAAGAGCCTGCTGGCATGTGGCTCTGGGCTGGTGACCAAGAGCCTGGTGGAACACGGATCTCTTCCATGGTTTAGCCACATGAGTTAAAGCTGACTGAATCCCCCACCGTGGGGTATCCTCTCACCTGGGAAACACAATCACTTGTGTTTTATGGCTGCGAGTTCTGATTGCTGGTCACTGTGCCGATCCTGCTGTGCTGCTGGTCAGAATGTGAGTTGTCCTGCACCGCCATCTTGCCCTGCCTATTCTTTCTTATTTTAATATCAGAATATCTAATGATTTGGTCCTTATATGTCAAATAGATAAATAACATATACTCTCATTTCCTATTTGTGAATTTCACTTGTCTATTGAAACTTGTTATTAATACAAAAACAATGCAGCCACAGATAAAAAGAAATTATTTCACAATTTACTTGATGTCAAAAACCAGAAGAATGTATTCAAATCTGCTCAAAAATAAAGGTAGCTGAAGTATTGTTCATTTTTTTCTGAGTACTAAATTTTACATACCCAAATAATGTCATCACAGATAACTAAATTCCTGCTTCTAACCTGGATGTGAATTTTAGTCTGCTGTGATTTTTTTTTAATTTTTTGGATTAATTACACTTTATTTACTTTGTATCTCCCCTCCCAATCCCTCCCTTCCTCCTCCATCTCCAGGGATGCCCCTCCCCAAGTCCACTGGTAGGGGGGGTCTTCTTTTCCTTCCTTCTGATCTTAGTCTGTTAGTTCTCATCAAGAGTGGCTGCATTTTCTTCCTCTGTGGCCTGGCAAGGTTGCTTCCCCCTCAGGGGGAGATGATCAAACAGCAGGTCAATCAGTTCATGTCAGAGACAGTCCCTGTTACCATTACTATGGAACCCACTAGGAAACTGAACTGCCATGGACTACATCTGTGCAGGGGTTCTGGGTTATCTCCATGAATGCTACTTGGTTGGACTATCAGTCTCAGGGAAGACCCATGTGCCCATATTTTTTGGATCTGTTGCTCACCTTGTGGAGCTCCTGTCTCCTCCAGATCTTACTAATTCCCACTTCTTTCATAAGGTTCACTGCAATCTCATCAAATGTTGGCCATAACTCTCAGCATCTGCTTTGATAGTGTGCATGGCAGAGCCTTCAGAGGCCTTCTGTGGCAAGCTCCTAACTTGTCCCCTGTTTTCTCCTTCTTCTGACGTCCATCCTCTTTACCTTTCTGGATGGGATTGAGCATTTTAGCCAGAGTCCTCCTTCCTGATAAGTTTCTTTACGTGTACAGATTTTAGTAGGTTTATCCTGTATTATATGTCTATATGAGTGAGTATGTACCATGTATGTCCTTCTGCTTCTGAGATAGCTCACTAAGGATCATCTTTTTCAGATCCCACCTGCAAATTTCATGATTTCCTTGTTTTTTATTGCTGAGTAGTATTCCATTGTGTAGATGAACCATACTTTCTGTATCCAGTCCTCAGTTCAGGGGCATCTTGATTGTTTCCAGGTTTTGGCTATTACAAATAAAGCTACCACAAACGTGATTGAGCAAGTATCCTTATTGTGATTATTAATGTAGCTAAGTCTTTGTATATAATCAACAAAGCATCTCAACCCTTCAGAAACTCAAACCATCATCATCTGTTACTGTCAAAGCAGTAATCTTTGTTTCATGGTAATCTCAAGCTTTTTCTGTCTTTTCTTGGCACAGACCCTTACAATGTTCCTCCTGTTCATCATTGTTCATTCTTAAGATATCAAGTATAAGACAACCTTCCTATTTGGAGTGTGATCATGAATACAGTCTACCTTGATCATCCTTACCTCTCTAAAATCTACCAAGAAACCAATAATTTTTCTCCGTGACATTCACTAAGACTTTCACAGAGCAAAGCAGTCAAGCATCATAAATGTCCTATGCATAAACACTTGCATAGGCTCATGCCGTTCCACAAAGCTAAGATGAATACCGGAAGAGTACTTATCAACCAATGGCAAGAAGGGAAATAAGGGAATGGACAAAGAGAAGAGAAGACCAAGATTCTCACCTGGTTGCACACAGGCTTGTACTTGAGTCCAGGCTTGTTCAGGATCATCTCCAGCTGCCTGCGGTTAAAGTTGGACACCCCAATGGACTTGGCCAGTCCTGCATCCTTACATTTCTCCATGGCCTAGGGAGGAAAGGACAGTCACAAAATATTTGATGGGGTTGCACACATTCTTCATTTCTGCTACATTAAAGGCATGTACATGACCCCTGTTCTTAAGACAAAACAGCCCTTGAAAGTAGCTTTAGGTTTTTTTTTTTTTTTTTAATGAAAAAAGGTACACTCTACTCTCACAAATGAATTGTGGCATGACTTTTTCTCTTGCTGCATTCCTCCTGTGCGCTCTATTTCAAGTACTTACCCCCCAGGTCTCACGGAGATCCACTGTGTCAAATATTAATTTTCCATGTTCATCTACTGGGAACTCATCTTCTCCTGGCTGGAATAGCATCAAATGTTAAAATAACCTTCAACAAACACATTTTCCAACCAATAGCTATTCTTCTAAGGAAAGGGAAATCTGAGAACTAAATCTCCATATGATAGATAAATCATTTTTAATAACATTTTATTTGTAATATATTTTTTAAATTGAGTTATAGGCAATTCCCTTGGTTATAAGATTTTATTTTCTCATATATATATTATATATTCTTAAAAATTGCATCTTGGATCAGTCTGGAGTGTCTTAATTAGTACTTATGACTGTTTCATGATGACCATTTTCTGGAAGCCAATTTGAGGTCTCTTCTCCAGAAAAGACCATTTCAATCTCTCAGAATTCCTTAGTTGTAGGTTTTTTTTCCCTAGTGTTAAGCCCCATGACACTTTTCCTTTCCACTTTAATGTTTACTGGTCCTTGTCCTGGTTTTCGTTAGTTAGCATATTGGTAAGCCTTCACAGTTATAGCTTCTCTGATATCTCTATAAGAGGCAATCTCAAAGCAAACTTTTCAGTCTCTTAGATCTTATAATCACTCTATTCCCTCCTCTGCCACGATACATGAGCCTTAGCAGGAGTTGTATTTTAGATCCATTGAACATATAGGTGCCACATCACTAAGCCATCCTAACCCCATTATACACTCTGAAAGAAATATATCTGGAAATACAAACAACATACCTTCAGGGCCATTGGGAAATGAATGACGTATAGGTCCACATAGTCCAACTGAAATTTTTTCAGTGACCGTTCCAAGGAAGATCTCACCAATTCTGGGCGATGGCTATTACACCAAAGCTACAGTTAAAGATGGAATTCACATTGAATTAATAAATCCAATAACTAATTAATTTACTTCACCTAACACAGAGACATTTTTCTATCAATTTGAAATTGATGTGCATGGGGGGATATTGTACTTCTTTCCAAATATCCTTCAATCCGATTCTCCCATGTGAATCCCTTATGTTTATTATGAATTAATTTGAAATCACTCAAGGTCCAGTGTTTAAATCAAGTCATAATAATGCTCCATCTCCATATTATGTTTTGCTGGATTGAAAATGCACAGTAGTGGTCTATTGCTTTTAGCCAATCAACTCAATATGGAAGAATAAGTGGTGGGAGGGTCGGTGTATGTATGTATGGTTTGCTTATTTGGTATGCACATGCACATATGGAAGCGTTATATGTCAATTCCATAATTCCAACCTTGGGTGCATATTTCTGTCACTCTATACCTTATGTAGTTTTTAATTTTTATAACTGTAGGGGATATAGTTTCAATATTTTATTGTATGTTTGCTAGAAGGCAAACAGGATGCATTATATCTTGCTTATAAAGATATCTACAATTTTTAAAGTGTTGACACTGATAAAAAGTTATCCAGGAAATACACAAGGCTACTGTCTTCCATACTCCAGTTTATATCATATACCTATGAACTGAGATGTAGAAATGACATGCAGTAAATTCAGGAATCTACAGGCAGCATTGATGAGAAAGTCACTTTCTATGAATCAACACTGTATCCGATATGCAAATATATATTAATAACTACAAAACAGAAAGTGCAGAACACAAGCCATTACTTATCTAATATACGAACACCTATTCAAACACCATGGTTCATTCATGGGTACATGAAGTAAACAGTACCTTTGTTGTGCAAAATACATCTTCTCTCCTCACAGTGCCATCAGCAATCTTACTTCGGATGGCTTCTCCCACTTGTTCTTCATTGTGATAGAAAGAAGCAGTATCAATATGATGAAAGCCAGCATCAATAGCTATTTTGGTGATATCCTTAGCTATACTCCCAGGAAACTGAAGAGCAAGAAAAAGTGGAATTTATAGATAGATATGCATGATTCAGAATGCACTAGGGCACAAAATGTGACTTCTCTGCTATCTATTTTTCCATGTTTTGTAGTAAAGATTCCCTCTGATATGATAGTGATCATTGTCTATGGGGTAAAAAGAGTCAGGTAACATGGGAACCTCTTTTATTCTTGGCAATCAGAGGTTAGTCATGATATAGGAGATGTCCACTATCACCTAAAATCTAGGACTTACTTCAGGTAACCATAAGGATGTTAAGCAAGATTTACACAGGAAAATATGCTCCATTTGACATAAAAATTAAATGCTGTATAAGGGAATGACCCTAAATGCCAAGGCCCTAAAACTGTGTTCAAAAGTTCCAGAAGGACAGCTATTTGGTGACTACAGAAGAAAACAGCTTCTCCTGCCCTTAGATAACTGGAAATTGCATAAAGTTAGAAGGTGCTGCAGTTTCAAAAATAGCTTTCACCCTGCAAAAAACTAAAGTCCAAGTGGATCAAAGACCTCAATAAAAACCAGACACATTAAACCTGTTAGAAGAAAAAGTGGGGAAGATCCTGGAATTCATTGGGACAGGAGACAATTTCCTGAATAGAACACCAACAGCACAGACTGTAAGAGCAACAATCAATAAATGGACCTCATGAAACTGAAAAGCTTCTGTAAAGCAGAGCACACTGTCGTCAAAACAAAACAACTGTCTACAGATTGGGAAAGGATCTTTACCAACACTATATCTGACAGAAGGCTAATGTCCAGTATATATAAAGAACTTAAGAATTTAAGAAGCAACACATCAAATAATCCAATTTAAAAAATGGGATACAGAGATAAACAGAGAATTCTCAATAGAGGAATATTGAATGGCAGAAAAACACTTAGAGAAATGTTCAATGTCCTTAGTCATCAGGGAAATGCAAATCAAAACAACCGTGAGATTTCACCTTACACTTATCAGAATGGCTAAGATGAATAATTCAAGTGACAACACATGCTGGATCATGAAGAAAGAGGAACCATTCTCCACTGCTTGTGGGAATGTAAACTTATACAACCACTTTGGAAATCAATCTGGTGCTTTCTCAGACTAATTGTCTGAGGCAATTGTCTCACTAACTGTCTTGAGGAACAGCGCTTCCTCAAGATTCAGCTGTACCACCCCTAGGCATATATCCAAAAGGCACTCAAGTATACAACATGGACATCTGCTCAACCATGTTTGTAGTAGCTTTGTTTGTAATAGCCAGAAGCTGGAAACAACCCAGATTCCACTCAGTTGAAAAATGGATACAGAAATTGTGGTACATCTACACAATGGAATATTATGCAGCGATAAAAAACAAGGAAATCATGAAATTTGCAGGTAAATGGTGGGAACTGGAAAAGATCTTTCTGAGTGAGGTATCCCAGAAGCAGAAAGACACACAGGGTAGGTACTCACTCATAAGTGGTTATTAGACATATAATACTGGATAAACGTACTAAAATCTGTATACCTAAGTAAGCTAATCAGGAAAGGGGACTCTGGCTAAGATGCTCAATCCCTGCTCAGAAAGGCAAAGAGGATGGACATTGGAGGAGGGAGAAAACAGGGAACAGGACAGGAGTCTGCCACAGAGGGCCTCTGAAAGGCTCTACCCTGCAGGGTATTGAGGCAGATGCTGAGACTCATAGCCAAACTTTGAGCAGAGTGCAGGGACTCTTATGAAAGAAGTGGGAGATAGTAAGACCTGAAGAAGACAGGAGCTCCACAAGACAGCAAGGTACAATCTCTGGGCACAGGGGTCTTTTCTGAGACTGATACTCTAGCCAAGTACCACTCATGGAGATGGTCTGGAACTCCTGCACAGATGTAGCCTCTGGCAGTTCAGTATCCAAGTGGGCTCCATAGTAATGGGGACAGGGACTGTCACTCACATGAACAGATTGGACTGCTCTTTGATCACCTCCCCATGAGGGGGGACCTGCCTTGCCAGGACACAGAAGAAAACAATGCAGCCACTCCTGATGAGACCTAATAGACTAGGATCAGAGTGAAGTGGAGGAGGACCTCCCTTATCAGTGGACTGGGAGAGGGACACGGGTGGGGAAGAGGGAGGGTGGAACTGGGAGGGGAGGAGAAAGGGAGGCATGGGGAGGATACAAAGTGAATAAACTAATTAATAAAAATATAGAAATTTAAAAAAAAATATTCTAATGAGGAAAAAAATAGCCTGCGTTCCCAGTCTGACCCTATTGATCCTCCCTTTTCTCTTTCCTATCATTAGCTACAAAAATCCAGCTTAAATGACACAATCTTGTATTCCCTTGAACTTAGGTCATTTAGTGACTGGGCTCTGTGCCCATGATCAGAGCATAGCCCAAACTTGAGATTCCCACCTCTGGTGGCAAGTAAACCCTGCTCTAGTTACATGTGGTAGCTTAAATTCTCTCTTTTGTTTCTTCCTATACAGTTAATTCTTACATATGCTTACATCATGGATCATCTAAGAGCTTTCTTTCAGGAAAGGCACAAGGAACACATTTCCCAAATGTGAATTCTCAAAGTTTATGCTGGTGTTAAAATGAATGTGATTTAGAGCCACCATTCAAAGACATTCATTCACAGTTTGTTATGTAAGACACTAACATGTCCCAAAAATCCTGTCTCCAAATTAAAGTGTCTTTATGGGAGCCGTTGGCAGTGTGCTTGCCATCTATGTACTATAAAATCTGTGTTCTTAATTTTATCAGTAAAATCACTGCACACATGATACCAGGTTCTGGTACCTCTTTTGGACACCATACTTATCTTCTTTTGGATTCTTTTGGTGGTACCAATGTTTTCTTTCCCTTCATCCTACTTTTATGCACAATTTAAAGAATTGTTGTCATTGTTCTTCATTATTTGGGGCATTTAGCACTTTAAAAACACCTTGAGTCCATTGAAATAGTCAACAAGTTAAGTGCTTATCAACAAACCTAATAACCCATTTTCAATCCCTGAGACCCACATGTTGTAGGTGAAATGACATAATTTTGTTGACTCCTGTCCTCTACAATATTACCATGGCAAGTATGCATACACTAAACACAGGGGGTTACAGGAGAGGAGAGAAAGGCAGGGAGGTGCAGAGGAAGAGAAGAGAAGAGAACAGGAGGGGAGGGGAGGAGAGGAGAGGAGGAGGAGGAAGGAAGATGGAGGAGAGGAGAGGGGAGGAAAGGTGAGGAAAGGTGTCAGGAGCCATGACTCTAGCAGCCTGCTTTGATATTTAAATCTCGGTGGAGAGATGGCTTTTAGCAGGACTTTACTAATGGCAGAGAAGAACTTGCAAGTCCATCTCCTTTTGTTTGTGACAGCAGGTGGGACAGCTTGTGAGGGTCACACCTCTTCCTCAAGCTCCTTGTGCAAATTAATCTATTGTTCTGAGATGTTTTACTGGCTAAAAGTAACTCCTGACAATAAAAGAGGTCAGAGGGCTGGAGTCAGAGGAGGAGACAGAGACTTGAGACTTGCTGCTTACTGCAGCAGCCTGCCTTTTGCTGTGGTTGCCGAGTCTGGACCTTTAAAAAAGGTTTCCTGTGTGCTGTGTGTTTATTTCATTAATATTAATCCTCACTCCCGACTCAAGAACTGTTAGACTCTGCTGGCTGACTCTGGCAGAGAGGAGAGGAAGAAAGGGGAGGGGAAGGGAGGGGAGGGAAAAGGAGGATAGGAGAGGGGAAGGGAGGAGGGGAGGGGAGGGGAGGAGAGGAGAGGAGAGGGTGAGAGACCAAATGATAAAGTCTTTAAGACCTAGAGTAGGTGTGGTAAAAAGTTAGTAATGCCCTGAGGGGGAGAGCTACCTCACTGCATTCTTTCCCCACCCACTAGAGATACAGTTGCTAGGAAACTGGACCCTCCCCCTAGGGAGGGACACCTGATCATGGTCAATGGTCTGGGAACCTTCCTATAGCCAATCAATTCAAAATGTAGCATCTTGACCAATAGATGCTTGCCAGGCAGGAATTGCCCTGCCTTGGGCATCCTGGGAGGGACCAGAATCTATAAATCACCCAACTAACCTGGGGACGCACACTCAGCTCCCACCGCCTCGGCTGTGGGGCCATGTTGGCCCAAGCTGCAGCTTGTAATTTACAATAAAAAGACCCTCATGTGTTTTGCAATGGAGTCGATTCCTGTAGATCTTTTGGGGGCTCTCGAACTGGGTATAACAAGGGGAGGGGAGGGGAGGAGAGGTGAAGAGCTGAGGGGAGGGGAGGGGAGAGAAGGGAAGGGGAAGGGAGGAGAGGAGAGGAGAGGAGAAGGGAGAAGAGGAGAGGAGAGAAGGGAAGGGGAAAGGAGGGAAAGGGAGCAGAGGGAAGGAGAGGAAAGGAGAGAGGAGGGGAGGAGAAAGGAGTGGAGGAGAGGAGAAGAGGAGAAAAACAAATGAATAAAATTAAAATGAATAAATTCATAGAACAAAAGAGTGAATTCAAAGCTTTGGTAACTAGTCCCTAGATACATATCTTTAATCAAGATAAGTATATTACCAGAAAACAACTTTCATTACAGGCAAGTGAAGTCTCGAGTTCCATACTTTCATTGCAAAGGTTTGTAACAATGTGCATTAAATCAAACATGTTTAAACATAAATTATGTCTTAATGCCCTTACTAAGTTTTTGCTTTCTCATGGAGTTGCTTTCAGAATAAGTTTGTAACAAGAGCACTGGAAGGCCTACGGGGAATTAAAACTTCCAGACTGGCCTATTTGCAGAGTGATGAAATCTTGTGAATCATCAACAGCCACAAAAATAACACATTTTATATCTACTTTGCTCAAACCAAACCCTGTAATGAAAATGAGATACTAAGTCAAACTCAAAGCAAAGCACCAGAATTAAATGTTTCATCCAAGAAACTTTACTGTAGAAATATCTTTAATAATTGACATTCTAAAAGTATAAATTATCCCCAGGAAATGAGTGACTTTACAAGTCAGATAGACCCACACTCACTCTAGTTGAGTTTCTTTGAACTCTCAACTCTCACTGGGGATATTTTTATTAAATTTTTATTTTTATATTAATTAGTTTATTTATGTTATATCCCAGCTGTATCCCCCTCCCTCATTCTCTCCCAATCCTCCCCACCCTCCTTCATCTCCTCTCTGCCCTTCTCTAAGTGCACTGATAGGGGAGATCCTCCTCCCCTTTCAATTGACCTTAGCATACTAGGTCTCTTCAGGACTGACTGCAATGTCCTCCCCTGTGTCTAGCAAGGCTGTTCTTCCCTCAGCAATGGAGAGTTCAAAGAGCCAGCCACTGAGTTCATGTCAGAGACAGCACTGGTTTTACCTTGCGTGTACAGCAGTACCAAAGCCAAGGACAGGAATGAAGTGACCATCACTTAGTTCCACGCATTGATATTTGGAGTCCATGGTCTATCACTCTTCATGTGAAGCCTGCTCTGCTTGAGGTTCACCCTCACAGGGAATTTAAATAATGGCAGCCCCTCCTCTGCTTTCCTGGCCAAAGTTCAGTTCATGTCACAGGGAGGAGTTAAAATTTCCACAAGTGATGATGAAATTTCAGCTGGTTAACTTACTTGTAAGAAAGAGAATTCTTGTCTTTCTGATTATTGAAAAGAGATTTTAATTTTTAATTTTATACTAATTAGAGTTTATTCACTTTGTACCCCAGCTGTAACCTCCTCCCTCATCCCCTCCATCTGTACCCTCCCTCCCTCATCTCCTCCCATGCCCCTCTGCAAGTCTACTGATAGGGGAGGTTCTCCTCCACTTCCATCTAAACCTAGCCTATCAAGTTTCCTCAGGACTGGCTGCCTTGTCTTCCTTTGTGGCCTGGTAGGGCTGCCCCCCCTTTAGGGGGAAGTGATCAAAGAGCCAGCCACTGAGTTCATGTCAGAGACAGAACCTGTTACCATTACTAGGGAATCAATCCACTTTGTCACTGAGCTGCTATGGTTTACATCTGTGCAGGGGTTCTAGGTTATCTCCATGAATGGTCCTTGGTTTGAGTATCAGTCTCAGAAAAGACCCCTGTGCCCAGATTTTTTGGTTCTGTTGCTCTCCTGGTGGAGTTCCTGTCCCTTTCAGGTCTTTCATATTCCCCTTCTTTCATAAGATTCCCTGCACACTGCCCAAAGTTTGGCTATGAGTCTCAGCATTTGCTTTGATACACTGCTGGGTAGAGTCTTTCAGAGGCCTTCTGTGGTAGTCTTCTGTCCTGTTCAATGTTTCTCCCTCTTCTGGTGTCCATCCCATTTGCCTGAGGACTGGAGGACTGATCATCTTACCCAGGGTCCTCCTTCTTGCTTCTCTTCTTTCGGTGTACAGATTTTAGTATGTTTATCCTATATTATATATCTAATATCCACTTATAAGTGAGTATATACCATGTGTCTGTTTCTGCTTCTGGGATACCTCACTTAGGATGAACTTTTCTGGGAAAGGATCTTCACCAACCCTATATCTGACAGATGATTAATATCCAGAATATATAAAGAACTCAAGAATATAAAAAGCAACAAATCAAGTAATCCAATTAAAAAATGACGTACAGAGCTAAACAGAATTCTCTGTAGAGGTTTATAGAATGGCAAAGAAACACTTAAAGAAATGCTCAATGTCCTTAGTCATCAGGGAAATGCAAATCAAAGTGACTTTGAGATTTCACCCTCCACCCATTAGAATGGCTTAGATCAAAAACTCAAATGACAAAAGATACTGGAGAGGTTGTGGAGAAAAGGGAGCCCTCTTCTATTGCTTGTGGGAATGTAAAGTGGTACAACCACTTTGGAAATCAATCTAGTGCTTTCTCAGACAATTAGGAATAGCACTTCCTCAAGATCCAGCTATACCACTCCTAGGCATATATCCAAAAGATGCTCAAGTATACAACAAGGACATTTGCTCAATCATGTTTTTAGAAGCTTTATTCATAATAGCCAGAACATGAAAGTAACCCACATGTCCCTCACTTGAGGAATGGATACAGAAATTGTGCTATTTTTACACAAAGGAATACTACTCAGCAATTAAAAACAAGGAAATTTGCAGGCAAATAGTGGGATCTAGAAAATAGATTTTTATACAATTAATGCTGCTTGCTTTTTTTCTCTTCTTCTACTCATTCCCTCTCTCCCCTCCCATCCAGATCCATCCCATTTCTGTCTCTCATTTGAAAAAAATAGCCTTCTAATGTAATATAATATGATAAATATAACAATAATATAACATGATAACATGAGTATAAACAAAAACTACTACATTGAAATAGGACAAAGCAAACAGAAAAAAAAGCCTAAGAAAAAAATAAGGAATATATATAAAAGCAGAGACCCACTCACTTGCACACTCAGGAATCTCATAAAAACTCTAAACTGGAAGCCATAGCATATATATAACAAAACTGTAGGGTGAAAAGAGATTTCAATATACATGCCTTTTTAGTCAGTATATATATATATATATATATATATATATATATATATATATATATATATATATATATTCACATGTATTATATATAATTCACATAGAGATATATTCATACATATGATATTTGATATGATACATATTTTTATTTGGTATGTATGATAAAAATAAGAAATAGGGAAGGCCAGGCAGGCAGGGCAGAGCACAAACATCCCCTCCCCAATCAGGCAAGAAGGGAACAGGCAAGGTAGAAATGGGAGTGATGCAGGAGCAGAGGAGTCCTATGCTGGCTATGTACACAGGAAGAACTAGTGGCATGACTACAGTGACAGCTGAAAGAGAGGGCTGAGATCAAGGGTGGTAGAGTGGGTTGTTTAGCATGGTTGAGTGGGTGCTATGCAGCAGCATATAGATCATACTCATCATATAGATGTAAACTCATATTTCAAACAAACAATCCAGCCACAGGATCAACTTTGGTGTGGAAATGATGGGGGATCAACATGAGGAATGGTCCACTTTTTAGATTAGACTTCCTTTGAAGGACCACCATATCCCAATAAGCTGCCAGGGAAATGTGTGTCTGTGTGTGTCAGTGGCCTTGATATGGCTAGCATCCAGGTTGATGTCCTAGGACAGTGTTGTGATCCAGTGACATGAAGATAGTCATGGTCTGTGCTGTGACCTGAGTCCACATTGATATCCAGGAACCTTGCTGCCCCTGAGGTCCTCACTGATGTGAGTGGCCTGCCCTGCCACCTGAGACCATTGTAGTGACCAGGTCTCAGCTGCTTCTGAGGAACAAACTTGGGGCTGAGATTGCACTACAGCTGGGACCTGAGGTAATGTGGGGTCCAATTTGATGTCCCTGTTCCATATTTCCACAGGAGGCTAAGCATAGTCCCTGGCCTTTGCTGCTGCCTGATCCATGGTGATATCCTGGTCCTTGATTCCACAGAGCACCATGTCTGGGTCTACAGTCTTATTCATCTACCACCAATTTCATATGGATGTCATGTTCTGTGCTGCAACCTGAAACTATGTTGATATCCCTGGGCAATTCTGCCATGAGGTGCCACATTGATGTGGGTGGCTTGGGCTTTGTACTTCAGAGTTTTGCTGCAGATTTCTTTCCTCTCCTTAAGGAAAGGACAGGAAATATATGAATTATTTTCTGACTTCACCCACTTTAAGTTTTCTATTGCTATGTAGAAAAGCTACTAGTTTTTATATGTTGACTTTTATATAGAGCCACTTTGCTGAAACTGTACCATTTCTAAAAATTTTCTGGTAGTGGTCTTAGTGATTTTACTGTATACAATCATATAATCTCCAAATGGCAAGTGTTTCTTCCTTTATCTTTTGCTTCTTTTATGTTTCCCTTGGTTTATTGTTCAAGCTAAGATATTGGACACTGTATTGATAATGAATGGAAAGAGGAGATACCTTTGGCCTCATTTTAAAGAAAATGCTCTCAGACAATTTCCAGTTATTATAATTTTGGTTATGAGTTGAATGTGACTTTTATTATCTTATAATATGTTCTTACTACACTTTCTTTGGTGTTTTTAATCATGAAGAGATGTTGGTTTTAGGTAAGACTAGTTCTTCACCTATTGATTATTTATGATTTCTGTCCTTAAGTGTATCTGGTTAATAAATTAAACTAAATTGTCATGAATGTTTAGCAAGAATATAGGTTTATAGTTCTCTTTCTTTGTTGTATCTTAATTTAGGTTTGGCATAAGGATAACAACAGATTCACATGAGTCTTAATAGTCTTCATTCCACTTCTATTTTATGGAACATTTTAAGGGATATAGATATAGCTCTTCGTGAAATGTTCAATAGAAACTGGTATTGAATTTTTCCAGTCGCTACTTTTCTTCTGAATACATGTACTGTGCTGCTACATGAATTAGGCTGGTTGCTTTGGATGTCTTAAAGTTGATTATATAGTTTTGATTTATCTATGGTAGGTCATCTGAATCTAGAAATTTATCCATATCATGCTTGGGATAAAAAAATTTCAGAGTAACTCCTAATGATTCTATTGGAACCTGGAACAAACTTCCAGTTTTCATATATGGTGGTTAGTTTGGTTCTTCTGTGGTTTTATATTGATGGATGTGGCTAAGCCTTTATCAACCTTGACTGTTTTTTAAGGAATGTGCCTTTTGTTTGACTTGTCCATGTTGTGTTTTCTTTGTCTCCATTCATTTTTGTCTTGGTTTTTATTATATCTTGCTACTACTTCTGTTTTGGATGCTTCTTTGTCAAGGACTTAAACAGCAACATTAGGCAATATGTTGGAGAGGTTTTCTGTAGTGTCTGTTTTTATAATTATTTGATAGTCACACATACAGGCAGTATGTTTGGATCAAATCTACTTTCTTATTCTTTTCCTTCAAATTCCTTCCTCACTTTTCTATCCCTTTCCTTTCAAACTTCATGTTCTCTTTCTCTGTTTCTCTGTGTCTATCTGTCTGTCTGTGTCTATATTTCTGTCTGTCTCCCTCTCTTTCTCATAGTTTTTAATACCCAATGTCTATTTAGTGTCACTTGTATGGGTATGGGATAATTTGAAATTTGGGAAATGCAAAGCCTCCCAGGACCTGCATCTCTAAGGGAAAAAAAGAATCTGTGTTCCCAGGCAGCCAGCATTTGGCAATAACTTGTCAGTCTACAAGAACACTCATAGCTATAAACTTTCCTCTTAGAATTTTCTCACCTATATAAAAAAGACTCAGATGATTTGTGCTTTTCTTTCTATCTGCCTGCCTCTGCTTCTCAAGTACTGAGATTAAAGGTGTGCATCCCAACTCAGTGGCTGGCTCTTTGATCACCTCCCCCAGGAGGTGTAGCCTTGCCAGGCCCCAGAGGAAGATGATGCAGCCAGACTTGTAGAGACCTGATAAGGGAGAGTCATAGAAGAGGAGGAGGTTCTCCCCTATCAGGGGACTAAGGAATGGGTATAGGTGGAGAAAAGAAAGTGTGAGTGGTACTGAGAGGATACGAGGGGGGTGCTACAGC